CTGATTTGATACATGTATATATTGTGAAATGGTTACCACAATAAGTTTAGTTAACATCTATGGCCTCCCATAGTTACATTTTTTTTTCTTTTTTTTGAGGCTTCTTTTCTTCCTTTCTTTCCCCCTCCCCTGCTATTATTTTTGTTTGTGCATAGCTCCCTGCCAAAGGTAACTGATGTTGACAGCTTGGAGCATGTCCTTCCACATCTTTCTCAAATATGCATATAGAAACACATTTATCGTTGTTTTACAGAGAACAATATTCAGTTCTCTGCCCTTTGCTGCACGGAGCTTGCACACTTTGGGCCTCGCTCCAGACCCATTAAATCAAATCCTTGAGCGTGGAGCCAGGAATCTGTATGTCTCACCCTCGATCCAGGGCTTTCTGGTGCTGCTGGCCCTGCTCCAGTGAGTTGGGGAAGGCTGGCTAGTGAAGGCTCATGTTGCTGTGGGCAAGAGAAGGGGTCAGAAGGAGACCTGTAGAGGATCTTGAGGACAGGCTAACAGGTGGAGGTCTCCAGGTAGAGAAAACAGCTTGTGCAGAGGCCTGGATGTGAGAGATTCCAGGTGTGCTCTGGAGATGGAAATAGTGTGGCTGGTTAGAGAGCAGAGTTGCGGTATTGATGGCCTTGAATGCCAGAGTCAGGGCTTAAGAGTCAAATGGAATGGGTGGCAGGGACTCTTATGTGGAGAACTTTTGCCAAAGAAGAGAACTCAGCCTGGACAAGGTGAGTGGGGCAGTCATGTTAATAATCACGTAATGATAATCATTCAGTAGTGGGGAGCGCTTACAATGTGCTAGGCACAGTGCTTTATGTGTATTACCTCATTAATCCTCCTTACAACCCATGAGGCAGATAGTATTTCCATCCCCATATTAGAGAAGAGGAATCTGAGGCACAGAGAGGTTAAGCAAGTTGCCCAAAGTCACACAGCTGGCAAGTGGCAGAGCCAAGCTCAAACCCAGGCACTTGAGTCTGTGCTCTTAACCACCGTGTTTTATTCCCTCAGCTCCTTAGTTTCTTCATCTGCAAAACCAGCATGGAGGTGACAAGGCCAACGGGCAGAGATACACTTACCCAGAACAACAACAAAAAGTAATAGTAACAAGTATTTAGTGAGAGTGAACTGCCTCAAAGAAAGAGGGACATAGAATAGCAGTCAAGGGCTTGGATTCTGGCATCAGAGAGAGCTGGGTTCAAATCCTAGCTCTGCCGTGCACTAGCTGGGCAGGATCCATATGCTCTTAGAGCCTCAGTTTCCTCATCTGTAGTATGGGCTGAAAGTACCTACCCCATGAGGCTATTGAGATGTTAAATGGATGAAAATCGCATATAGCAGCGACTGTTCAATAAAGATTTAAAGGGCAGTGGGACTCGGAGGAGGAATAGTTCAAGTTTGAATACAGGTGGGCCCCGAGGTGTGGGGGGGGTGGTGGTAATCCAATTCCAAGAGTCTGAGACTGACTGACAGGGCTCAGTGTTGCCTCCCAAGGCCAAGGAGAAGCCTTACGCCTTGCCTCAACTTTGGCCTTGCAAACAGCTGCTCGCCCGGCAGGAGAGTGTGGCGATGAAGCTCAGAGCTACCACTGACGGGATATCTGCTGTGTCCAAGCCCGTCCGCTAGGGCCGCAGTTCCCAAACTGTGCGCCGAGGTGCCCCTGGGCACTGCGGACTATTTTAGAGGATTTTTGAAAGGAACACAGCGCCATCTGCCGGACACCTTGCAAACTACCAGCTCAAGGTAGTTCGCGGTTTCAATGTTTGAGGAGCTTCCTTCCTTTAGATGACGTCACAGCTTTGTAAAGCTGGGTTTATGGCAGTTGTTCTGATAACAAGCAAATATCTTGCAAAAATCATTGTGGAGCAGGAAATGAGGGTGGTAACGTCCAGTCTAATTCCAAGGGTCGAGCAGTTGTGCAGAGCCCCACAAGCCCACCCACCCATAAGCACATACTTAGCATTAAGAAGGAACTAAAATATTATTTTTTTCTTTCAATTGATGTGCATTTTTCAAGCGGCTACTAAGTTGTGAGGACATGAATACTTATTAGTTGTTTTAACCTAACTACTTATAAAAGTTAACTGTTAGTTTTTTTGTAGAGGCAGGAGGTGCCGTGAAAACATCACCGAGACACTAGAGGCGCCTTGAACTGAGGGAGTTTGGAATTTCTACGTTACGCTCTTTACAACCCTGGCAGATCCATACTTCTATTTCATAGATGAGTCAGGAAAGGCTACCCAGCGGGGGTGGGGGTGGTGTGTGGGGACAGTGATTCTCAGGAAGGCAAACTGCTCTCCCAACCTGGAGTCAGTTCAGATTTGTGCCCTGACTGTGGGGAAGGGCAGCCCTTTCTGTCTGTCTGCCTCCATGTCTGCGGGGCAGCAGGGTCAGGTTGCTGATGTCCCTTCTCCTTCATCAGAGGGGGCCCCAATCAGGGCCCAGGACAATAGCCCCTGTGTGTCCTGGGAGCTGAAGTTGGGCCCTGGGGGCCTCTCTCCTTAGACCTCCTGAAGGCTCTCCCCCCACCCACTGCTGGTCCACCTCCCAACCAAACCCACCTTCAGTCCTGGAGGCACCGGCTCGGCCGCCTGGCTGCAGGAGGACCTAGCAGTTCATGAGTTCAAAGTTGTGCAAAGGATCCCGCCCCACCCTTCTCCCTCTTTCTGGTTCCCTCTTCTAGGTGAAAGGTCACACAGCCTCCTGGCAGGGTACCGCAAGCAGGAGCACCATGAAACCACGAAGGGACAGCACACAGCATCGCCCCTGCCCTTCAGCCTGGACTTGAGAATCCTGCCCCCAGCAGTGAGCCCCCTTACCCCAAAGCGACTCACACTGGAGGAAAAAGAAAACACTGGAAGAAAGGTGGGGTCCCCCTTTCCCAAAGGGCAACTGTCAGCATTGTCCTGCACAGTCAGACTGCCCGGCTCTGGACGCCCCTGAGCAAGCCATTGAACCCCTCTGAGCCTCTTTCCTCCGCTGCAGATGGGAATAATAACAGTGCCTACTTCACAGAGTCGTTCTGAGAGTTTAATATACGACAAAGCTTAGTGCAGAGCTAAGTATACAAGGTCGGTGCACAATGAAATTTAGCTATTCATTCATTCATTCCACAAATATTTATTGAGCACCTACTAGGTACGTACGAGGCAATATTCTAGACGCTGGGAATACAGCAGTGAACGAGACAGACAAAACCCTGCCCTCAGCAGGCTTACGTTCTAGCAGAGGGAGATGGACCATAAATAACAAACCTAATACGTAAGTAAATTCTAGAGCAGTGCTGCCCAACTGAAATATAATGTGAGCCATGTTATGTAATTTAAAATTTTCCAGTAGTACCATTACGAAAGTAAAAAGAAACAGGTGAAATTAATTTTTCTAATTTTTAATTAAAAATTTTTAAAATTTTTAATTAAAAATTTTAAAATTCACCCGATATATCCAAAATATTATCATTTCAACCAGAAGGCATTAGCCACATCTCGAGTGCTCAGTAGCCACATGTGGCTGGTGGCTGCTGTGCTGGGCAGCACAGTTGTGCAGCACGTTAGAAGGTGAATGCAGAAATGAAGACGTAATTCAGTGTCGGGGGGACTGGAGCACCCCATGTGGGAGCGGACAGACTGAGAAGGGGATTTGAGCTGACAGAGAGCTCAATTATCATTGTCAACCAGCCCCCTTCCTCCCTGCTGGCCTCGCCTGGCTGCCGGAGGGTTTTCTGGCCAATAGCATCTTATCCCTTCCTCTGTCCCCAAGCCTGACCCTGGTTCTGCAGACCCCTGAAAGATGCGGACCCTCTGGACATGCCCCAGCCTGGGGGGCGGCCCCTCAGCACCACCCCGCCTGCTCCAGGAAATGGTGTGCATCCTTTGTTCTGGGGGCTTAGGGCCACCCCGGGGGACACATAGCAGGAATTTTATCAAGGCTCTGTCCGGAGGAGGGAAGAGCTGGGTGGGGGCGTGAGGGACCAGTGCTCACCCAGGGCTGGGATTGGGGGGAGGGGAGTGAGCGCTGGAGCCTGGCTTTATTTAAAATGTTGATATTTTGTTCATCCCATGTTTTTTGCATTAATTAAAAAAATATTTTTTACTGATTCATATATCCTAAAATTCAGCCTTTTAAAAAGTTCACAATTTCCGTGGTTTTTACAGTTTTGTAACACCACCTAATCAATTTTGGGACATTTTCACCGTCCCCAAAGACACCCTGTAGCCATTAATCAGCCACTCCCCGTTCCCCCACCCCCAGCCCCTGACAACCACTAATCTACTTTCTGTCTCTATGGATTTGCCTTTCTGGACATTTCATAGAAATGGACTCACAATATGTGACCTTTTGTGTCTGGCTTATTTCCCTTAGCATAAGGTCTTCCAGGTTCATCCACATTGTAGCACGGATCAGCACTGCATTCCTTTTTATGGCCAAATAATATACCACTGCATGGATAGACCACATTTTATTTATCCATTCATCTGTTCATGGATATTTACGTTGTTTCTACTTTTTGGCTATTGTGAATAATGCTGCTGTGAACATTCACGTGAGAATTTCTATGTGGGCATGTGGTTTTTTTTGTGTGTGTGTGAAGAAGATCAGCCCTGAGCTAACATCCATGCCAATCCTCCTCTTTTTGCTGAGGAAGACTGGCCCTGAGCTAACATCTATTGCCAATCCTCCTCCTTTTTTTTCCCATTTTTCTCCCCAAGGCCCCAGTAGATAGTTGTATGTCATAGTTGCACATCCTTCTAGTTGCTGTATGTGGGACGCCGCCTCAGCATGGCCGGAGAAGCGGTGCGTCGGTGCGCGCCCGGGATCTGAACCTGGGCTGCCAGCAGCGGAGCGCACGCATTTAACCGCTAAGCCATGGGGCCGGCCCCAGTGGGCATATGTTTTTAATTCTTTTGGATTTTGCATTCATTTTGATTTTTAATATGTTGGATAAAAATATTATTTTTCTTGAATACTGAGTTTTTGGGCGCTCCGTTAAAATTCGTGTCTGACTGGCCTACCCTGTTCCCACCCTGCATCTTGCCCCTTGCTGGCTGGGTGACTTTGGGCAAGTTGCTTACCATCTCAGAGCCTCGGTTTCCTCTTCTGTGAAATGGGTATAGTCCCCATACCTGCTCACAGCTGGGAGGGGGACACAGTGAGGTCATGACGCACGTTATAGACCAGCACATCCCTGGGACACAGTAGACTTGTGCCAGTCGACAGTCTTTCCTACGGGGAGGCCTGGGTTTGGGCCTGATGGGAGGTGGCAACATAGATGTGACCTAGCCTTGCCCTTGAGGAGAGCTGGCCCACCTGCCTGGAACACTTGCTGCTTCTGTTCCCAGGGGAAACGTGCTGTTTCTGCTCTCCTGCCTCAGCCTGACCCCCTACAAGGTCCCTGGGGATGAGATCTGATGCTGCTCACCCCAGGGCCTCCTGGGCTCCCAGCACCTTCCACCCCAGCTGCCCTGGGCCCCCACCGCCGCCTCCCCCACCCTCGCTCTGCCCACTCCCACTGCAGGCCGCGGCTCCCGGCCCTCTGCGCTGCCATGAGGCCCGCACTTTGCAGGGCTGAAGTCCAAAGTCCAGGCCCTTTGCTAAGCACACGGATGAATATGAACCTTGGAGAATTTCCCCAGCTCCAATGTAAACAGAGCGGGCAGGGGCCCTGATTCACTGGCCGCTGGGGCCAGGGTTGGGGGTTGGGGGTGCCCACAGGGCTTGGCTAGTGGGGTTTGGGGGGGTCGTGGGTGCAAGGAGCCTGGTCTGTGCCTGCCTGCTGGCCGGCGGGCAAGGAGACGGCCCACGCGGGGGAGGCGGCCAGCTCGGTGGCCCCGGGCCGCGTGGTCCAGCGGCAGAGGAGCCATGGTTTCTAAGCTGAGCCAGCTGCAGACGGAGCTCCTGGCGGCCCTGCTCGAGTCGGGCCTGAGCAAGGAGGCGCTGATCCAGGCCTTGGGGGAGCCGGGGCCCTACCTTCTGGCTGGGGATGGCCCCCTGGACAAGGGGGAGTCCTGCGGCGGCGGCGGCGGCGGCGGCCGAGGGGAGCTGGCCGAGCTGCCCAATGGGCTGGGGGAAACGAGGGGCTCCGAGGACGAGACGGACGACGATGGGGAAGACTTCACGCCGCCCATCCTCAAAGAGCTGGAGAACCTGAGCCCCGAGGAGGCGGCCCACCAGAAAGCCGTGGTGGAGACCCTGCTGCAGTAAGGCCCCTTCCCCGTGCCCGGCTCCCCGGGGGCCCACCCGCTGCTCCTGGCCGCGCCTGCTGAGGCCGGAGTTCCACGAGTGTGGCCTCCAGCCCAGTTGTCGGGAAGGGGACGGGGCCCAGGCGAGCTTGCGTGGGTGGGGGTCCTCGCTTGAGGTTGGAGCCTCCAGGCCCGACCTGGCCTCTGCAGAGTCTGAGTCCCCACGAGCCGCGGCTTTCGGCCCAGCGCCTGGGAAGTGGGGACATGCCCCAGGGGAGCTCCGAGACGGGGAAAAGAGGGAGAATCCACATCCAAGTGCCTGGAGAACCGGGGTGGGGGCTGGAATTTTTAGCTACCACGGCCATTTCCACTCCCGAAACCCTAACTGCCCTGCTAAGCGACAGGATGCACCGCTGGGGAGGAGGGGCTGAGGCTGGGGTTTTGGGGACTCCCCAACCACCCGGCGACTCAAGCATTCAGCCAGGAAAGCCCAGATCTTTCTTACCTGAGGGAGATGGAGCCTTGGGGTGGGAGCTGCTCCTCTTTCCTGCACAGCCTCAGGCGCCATTAGAGTCCTCCCCGTTCTGTACCCCCATCCATTGGCTGGCTCCCCATCTCCCAGAGAACTGGGTGGGTCTGAGCCGGATGCTTCCCCTCTCCTCAGCAGAGCTAACC